TAATTATATAATAAAATTAATAGAAGTCACAGTTTTTGGATGAGTTTTTTTTAAAGCTAAAAAGTTAAACTTTGAGATTTCTTTTCTCAACAATCGTCTTATTAAAATATGTCAAATTTTTTATCACCAATATAGAAAGATCCAAACTTTATCATATAATTTTTTAAAAAATTTTGATCCCATTAATTATTGTGGGAGCTAATAGTGAAACCTGCTGATACTGAAACGCACGTGATATAGATTAGTTTAATCATGTTCATTATATTCTTAATTTCCGATACTTTCCATTACACAAATTATATCATTTAGATATAACATAACTTTTTGCTAAGTAAAATATCCAATTTTTGAAAAAACTGTTTGTTTGATCTTTGCTTTATATAGTTTTAATTTACCCAAATTTTTTTCCACTTAAAAAATTTAGAACTTTTGTCTGTAAGTACTGTATAATAAAATATATCGTATCTACTTTTGTTAACATATATGTTGATCAAAAGCTTTTTTTAGTAATGCCATCAATTCCAAAAATTCTGGAGACAGCAACAGAGTACAAATCTATCGTTAAGTTTCTTCAAGCAAAAATTATATCTGAAGATCTTCAACAAAATCATATAGCAAAATCCAACTTTATTCATCGTTGTAAAAAATTTGAATTAGATAAAGATGAATTTCTATATACTCGGGCTATTATAAAAGATGAAGTGATTAAGTCAGAAAAACATTGGGTGGTTTCCAAATATGATAAAGAAATGCGTACTTTAATTTTATTACGTTTTCATGATCAGGCCAACCATCGAAGCCATCACAAGACATTTTCTGCCATTTCAGAGCACCATATCGGAATTACTCAAGAAGAAGTTCAAGCTTACGTAAATGAATGTGTTTCATGTGCTTTAAATACTTCTATAAAAAAAAAAAACTAATATGACTTCAGTTGTATCAATAGCACCATGGAAACATATTCAGATCTATCTTGTTGATTTTCGTGATTTTGTAGATATAAATGACGGTTTCACATGGTTGTTTATGTATATATGTACATTTTCCAAATTTTTAATAGCAATCTCTATGAAAAACAAAGAAGCCCTTACCATTGCAACGCATTTTATTAAAAATGTCTTCAATATTCTTGGACTGCCTACTATTCTTTAAAGTGATAATGGCAAAGAATTTGTTGCAGAAGTTCTTGCCAAAGTTTGTAGAACTCTCAATATTATGATTAGACATAGTCATCCTCGTTATCCACAAGCACAAGGCCAAATTGAATATTTAAATCAAACTATTGGTCATGGCTTTATCAAGCTATTATGGAATAACGATAATCAGTTACAACAAAAAAGATTGGATCAATGTTATTGATGCTTTTGTTAAGTCATATAACTCTACTATTCATAGAGCACATGGTTATACACCACATGAAGTAATGTTTGGTTAGAAAATGCATTGTGATTATGATACTCCTGATAATATATAAGAAACATTTGAGGAAAATGTCGATATACGAGAAATATCTAAGAAAACTATCAATGTACAAGAAATACTTGAAAAAGATAATGATATACAAGAAATACCTAAAGAAAATATTAATATACAAGAAATACTTGAAGAAGATGTTAATATGCAAGAAATATCTGAGGAAGATACAAATATACAAGAAATACTTGAGAAAAATGTCGATATGCAAGAAATATTTAAGGAAGATGATAATATATCTGAAGTTGTTGAACAACATATTTCACGAGTCTTGCAAATTTATCAATCTGTAAATAGTTTATTAGAGAAATATCGCGACAAATTATGTTAGCAGGGTAGTATTCATAAAAAAAAATTAACAAATAATACAATTAAGGCTGGAACTACAGTTGCTATCGCACCAGATTATGATATGAATCCAAAGACTCAAAAATGAAAACTACAGCTGACATTTTCTTAACAAGGTATATTCAAATCATTAACATCTAACAATTATACTGCAATCATTGAAGTTAATGACAAAGATATTTGAGTTCCTATTAAATGGGTCAAGGTTATAAAATAGATTAATATAAAGCAAGCGTTGATGTTTTTAAATAGAAATAAATACATGTAGAAAGGTTTAAGTACATATATATAAATTGCCACATATCAGATAAGAATATATAAAGTTTAATTAGCACAACAAAATAAACTTAATGCAAAAAAATGTTGAGAGAAAGAAGTAGGAAATATTAAAAGAAAATTTGTATATACATAATAAAAGTCAACATATCAGATTTGATTTATAATGGAATTTTTTTTAAAACAGAATTTCATTAAGTATAGTGACAAGAGTTTGTATTAAACTTATAATTCGACATTGCAAACCATTATATCGACTTTCACTGTATAATTTTTTTAACTGTGAAACGAAAAACCATTAATCAGGGTCTAAAGCAATGTATGAATTCATTAGACCAATAGGGGTACCTATCCATAATTATGTCATGTGCGTTTTAGCATCAGCAGGTTTCACTATCAGCCTTCACAATTATTAAATTATTTTAACTTTTATTAAATTTTTTGACTTAAAAAAAAACTCTCAAAAAAACTCTCTTTCAATTTTGATCCATATGTTAATTTTTATTGTAATAAATAAAAATTTTTAAAAATTTTATAGAAACTATCATTTATCCAAAAATATCTTATACAAAAGTCTCAAAATTATAATATCAAATTTAAAATTTATCCCTTAAATCGTAAGGCATTTTTTTTATAACGTTTAAAATTTTTTAACTAAAACGTTGCTTTTCATTTATTTTTTTAAAGAATTAAAATATTTTTCTAAAAATTTATATAATATTGGTTTTAATTATATAT